CCAACGTCATATTTCAGAATCCTGTGGACCGATTCCATTCATTCTTTGCATGTGCCTAGTACCTTATGTGGGACATATGCAATGCAGTGGTTTAGCAATTCGATTCAAAATGGCCGACTGGCAGCCATCTTGTTTTTTGAAAATGTTGTATTTTGGGCATGCTTTGTCAGTTGTCATTCAAGCTTGGTACATAGATTATACATGTTAGGATACATGTCCATGACAATTTATTTCGCAATTGGATCAAAGATGGTCGACTGACAGCTATCTTGTTTTTTTATATGCGGTATCTTGGACGTGCTCCGTCAGTTTTCATTCAAATTTGGCACATACATGTACTTTATACATGTTAGGATGCATGTCCATGACAATTTGTTTCAAAGGATGGCCGATTGACAGCCATCTTGTTTTTTGAAAATGTTGTATTTTGGGCATGCTTTGTCAGTTGTCATTCAAGCTTGGTACATAGATTATACATGTTAGGATACATGTCCATGACAATTTATTTCGCAATTGGATCAAAGATGGTCGACTGACAGCTATCTTGTTTTTTTATATGCGGTATCTTGGACGTGCTCCGTCAGTTTTCATTCAAATTTGGCACATACATGTACTTTATACATGTTAGGATGCATGTCCATGACAATTTGTTTCAAAGGATGGCCGATTGACAGCCATCTGACTTTTTGGCCTTACTACTATATTTCCACAATTTATGTACCATTTTCATTCGTATTTGGCACATACATCATACATATCAGTGTGTTTCATAATCAGATCAAAGATGGCTGAATAACGGCCGTTTTTATTTTGGCCATATTACTATGACACGAAACACGTGTTTTGATGTAAATAAACAATCTGTTGTATATGTCACTTGGAACTCAAGTTTCAAGGACACCCTGCAATAACCCCTCCGCTTTAATATGACGAGCACAAAGAGAACTTAAACGGGGACTGTGTCATTTTCAATGACTTGTTCAACTTGAAATCAAAATTATTTTTAATCATAATACATATTCCTTTACTGTGGATGAACCATGGGAATAATAAATTTTACCATTCCATTGTTTTGATATCCGTTCCTCCATATCTTTAGTACAATACGTTTCCTGTAGCAATATTATCTTGTTACGTTTTCGTTTTACCCAATCTATCAATTTTTTCCTTTTTAAGTTGTTCCTAAAACCCCTTACATTTAGCGATAGGAGCCCAATTGAAAAATCAGCCATAATTCCAAATATGAAAAACGTCCCACATCTCATCAAAAAATGACCATAACATCCACCACCATGGTAGTGGATGGAAAAACATGCCAGAAATAGAAAAACAGAAAATAAATATTAAATTGTACACACCAACCTTACTGACCATAGTAAATAAAGAAAGAGAAAAGTCCCTGAGAACTTGAACCGACTCTGCTGTGCCAAATCAATCGTTTCTTTGTGTCTACTATTTGACCTTTGACCTTCATAGTAACAACTTTCGTAGTTTGTGAATCAGTCCCTTCAATATCTGATTACCATGGTGGTTTCTCGCCATATTTGACGCGCATCTGTTTACCATCCTCGCCTTCATATAGCAGTATCGCGGGGACCTGTGGTGGAATAAATATTTTCCTATCAGGAAATTTAATCTTGAACTCTTTCTTCAGCACTAGAAGCTCTTTTCGTTGTCCACAAACTTGCCCTACAGATGTTGGGCAAGATTATTACTTAGTCGATAAATATCCATTGGTCAGCACATCGATTACGAATTTCTGTGATGGAAGCTTAGTACAGGGCTTTTCGTCGCTGGTCCACAGGGTTGCATTGACCATGTCTCCGCCATTTTGGAAAGTTATTTTATTCTATGACGTCATTTAAGTGAACCGCCCTATGGTGCGTAAATTGACAATTTTGATTGGTCAGGCAATTGACCTTGTGTCACATTTTCATTATACAATGTAGACAAAAAAAAAAAAATCATGTAAACAATGAACACATGTGTGTGAAATATTTATTTTGTGTTTGACGGTACTGCCTAGAAAAATTAAAAAAAGGCAGTGTAGCCAGACGGCTACTTTGTAGCCACGTGTTCATTGTTTGTTTGTGCACCTTTGCCATTTCACTGTTCCATTTCAAGTGTAACATGGGCGTGGTCCTTGACACAGTGCGTGTTCTCTGCCCGACTATACGCCATGAATGTTGCTAGCCACGAGTCTCAGCAGCACTAAAACAACGTCCTGTAAGCGCGTTCATTGGAAAACAAAACAAATCACTCATAAATTTATAAAAACAGCTTCTTTTTGAATCGATCTTTTAATTTGCTCACCAAAAACCAATAATTTCTGTTTTTACGCTATTAATTCACGTACTTGAAAAAATAATTATTTTTACTACCACAAATCAATGGAGTTTTTACAGTATTTACAGTTTAACTTTGATTTTACGGTTGCTCTGAGGGGGACTTGAACCCACTGCCTTTCAAGCTAATTTTGTTTTATCTCGATGGCACACTTGTGTACCACGCCACAACGTTGGTTGTTGAGTGGTGTTCATTTTGCTAACTACTTAAATGTTCTGATTAGTTGAACAGGAAAGCCAAAACGATTGCTTCAGTTCCGGGTGAGTGTGTATCTAGTGGGATTTGCACACTTGGCGTTTGTATTAGGCGTTGTTTTCCTTTCTCATGTTTGCTACACCGTTATATGCGACCACTTCCCTGTTTTATTGTGATTTTGTGAGTGTCTTCCTCACCCATCACACCATGACCTACTTTCAACCACACAACCATTACGAAGTACGTGACCCTTGGCATGACCCCACTAATCGTTCTGTTCAACTGTTAAGCTACAATTTATTACTGTTATTATCCTAAAATTTATTACTGTTATTATCATTATATTGTCACATGATTTGTCCCACCTTATTTGTAATAAGTATCTTTATTGTAATTTGTATATACCAATATAACAATGGTCATGTATTTTGTGACGTCACAAATTCGAGTGTAGGTACAGCTTCTGGAATTGTGCTGTTTACTGTGTGAAGTTTACATATATTTCATAGCAAACCAAAAAAAGATTTTTTTGTATCAAACCATGACTAAATAATAAGCAATACTGCTAGAACCTCAGAAAAGTACATTGTGAGTTTGCAAGAAAATGTGATCCTACCATTGCCCCTGTACTGCCCTACAATGTTTATGTTGAATTCGTGTTGACCATA